AACGCACAATTCTCACCTAATTCAGGTAAATTCCTTTTTTTTTTTTTTTTTTAAGTAATCTTGATTTATTGGGGTTTTTTTTTTTTTTTTTTTTTCAAGACTTTTTATATTTTAATGCACAATCTTATATGTTGGTTCTCATCTGTTACGGGATCTGCTGTGAACTAAAATGCAGTATGAGCAATTCTAATTTAGAGTGTAATAGTATAGTAGTAGTAGCCTGTTTCCGAGTTTTTTATAAGTTTCAGAGGAGAGGCTTTTCCATTTGTTTGGACTATACCTTTTTAGGAAATTACAATGTAATGAATTGTTATGCATATTTATCGATTAGAAGTCTCTGTCATGTGCAAACTGCAAAAATGTTTTATTATTGTTTATCAGCCATTTTTTCATCCTCTAATTGATACTAGCTTTTCGATTAGTTTTATTATTATTATTATCATAATTTCGAGCCATAAGTTTTTGTGAACATTTCCGAGTTATTTCTGTTACATTTGGATGTATATCTATCTTTTTCTTCCATTTATCTAGTAAGGAACTGCATCATTTAACTTGCTAGATTTTGCTGTTGGATTAACTTTTTTTAAAGCCTAAAACGATATATGTTCCTTTTTTTACCTTTTAAACAAACGCTTTTATTAGATAAATTACTGAACAAAAAGTAATAAGCATGTAAAAACGTTTTTTAATAACACACAATGATTGTAACAACAGAAGTCCGACTGTTGTATAGTCCATTCCCATTTGATATCTCTAAAATTGGTCTGGAACTAATATGAAAGGTGAGATAATTTCAGAATTATCGGACGAGGAAGAAGATGAGCAACTGCGTGCACAAGCTGATAGCGTCATCAGCCGTTTAAATGACTGGGGCACGAAAAATACTGTGACACGTCAAACTGATGCACTTTCCCGATTGGTTGCTAGTGGACCTTTGGTAACTCCGGTCCTGGATCGGCTTCTTCCGAGTGATCCATGGTTTTTTAGTATGGATGTGAAAAATCACTCAACAGTCGACTCCAATGACACTGCTCGTTCACACATGGCATGGCTTGGATCTACCGCCAGTCACTCGCATAGTTTAAAAACCACGATCAGCATCAGTAAGCCGAATTAGAATTATGGTTTTTTGTCCTTTTTATGGCGTCTTCACTTTCCATTTCTACAAGGAGCGACAATTCTTTAGTTTGTTTTATTAAACTAATAAAGTATCGGGACACATTTAACTTTAAAGGATTGCTTAGTGATTCTAATTAAAACTTTGAGTTAGTCTCAAGTTTAAATTTATTAAAAAATTGTTATTCTGTCGCGAAATAAGAAAGTGGAAACGCAAAGTCGTCTGTTTATTGTGTTTATGTTTATTTGAGCGCGGGTTTCATGTCTTTCTGCTGCTTTGTGGTGGTGTCTCTGTTGCAGTAAATAGCTACTACTGTGGTGAACAGTTTTGACTAGTTTTATACAATTTGGTTTATTTTAATATTATTGCTGTTTCGATCTGAAATAATTTGCTTCACTATCCGAGTGGGGTGAATAGATTCAATTCGACTGCTTTTATTGAAAATAAGTATGATGAACTTTTGAGATAATCACAGTTTCAGTATATTCGTTTTGTTTTTTAATTTGTTTTTTCATTGTTAAAGAACACAGATCTGTAATCTTTTTTAATGTCCTGTGTCCATTTTTTTTTTGCACCATTTATATTTATAGCTTAGTTCTTTGCGGTCTTCCTAAAATGAATTATTTTATTCATCAAATGCCTTAAACTCAAAACATTCTCTTTATTGCTAACCGCCCCCTCTTTTCATCCTCTCCCCATTCATTTCTGTTTCGTTGCGGTGCTTTCCTCTGTAACTTTTTGAAATATGCTGCTAAAATGTTGTTTTTACAAATATTTTGTATTGTATGAATAATATGTAATGATGTCCTATTTTGTATGGTATTATGTTGTCACTACAAATAGGATGGAATTTATTGGTTGGTTCTTTCAGTTCTAAATTTTCTTATACCTATGATAAGTTCCTTCCTACAGATTGTACAATATTTCTGTACAGGTCCAGACAGTGTACGCGTCTTATCATTTTTTTCTTCATTGTACTGGCCCCTACACAGATCCGCAAACACATACACAGTATTCTAATCTCAAACTGATCTAATTTGTCCATTTTGTCCACCTTTGAACTTGTTCGTTGTCTTTAGTTTTCATTCGAGGAGAAACTGTATATTTTTAATATTAAGTTGTGTGTTCAAAGTAATGAGCCTGTTCAGAAATAATATGTAGATATGGAGCATAAAGCATTCCGCATATGTAAGCATATTTTGTAGAAAAAAAAACTGTACGCGAGAAACTGTACTTTGAGATTTTAATTTCTCACATTCTTTCCCTTTATTGTTTTAATATGGGAAGTGGTGAGCCCTCCAAACAGGCCAGATTTCAACGAAGAAAGATTATGTAGAACAACACATCGTGGGTTCGGATTTGTTAGTAGGTGTTCGTGGAGCCATTAAAGAGCAACCTTTTACGAATCCCCTGAATTCGGAAAGAGCCAGTGGGAGAAACAGTAATTGGGCTCATTGAAATGCTTTTGCAACCGGTTACGTGTAGCAAATTTTAAAGTGTATCAAGTCGTTGGCAGTGGAAGTGTATGCGTCTAGTGGTAAATAAATATAAGCGTGTGTCGTATATGTCATTAGTTTGATAGTAGAGGTATGTAGCAGCGAGATTTGTGAAAGCAACTTCTTTGTAGAAATGATTATCTTAACATTTTCGGATATAATTATGGGGGGCCTGTGGGTATGATATTTCTAGAGTTTCTGGATGATTTTGACGTGGACTTTCTTCCATATCGTAGCGTCACCTAATCCATTTTCCTGTCCATAAAAATTTATTCAATTGTATATTTGTTGTACAAAAGTCATTTGTTCTCTTATTGTTATTGCAGGTTAGCCCTAGAATGGATATCTTCTCTTCGAGTTTTAACGCTGAGAAGGTTTTAAATGAATTTGAACTACCCTTCATCGAGTCCAAGGGTTTTAAATCAGTTGACGAATTTGAGCAGTACTTGCGCAGCACAAATGCCGCATTTGTCGCACAATTACAAAAAGTGGAGATTCAGGAAAACATCAAGAAATCAACTGGACTCTCCAGGTGGAAATTCTATTGTAAAAGCTAAAATTAAACTTTAGACAACTTATCAGAGACGTCGAGTATTTGTAATTGCCTGTATGTCCAAATATAACATTAAAAACATCTCTCTTCCCTTAAATAATTTTTTCTTTTAATTCAAAAAGACTCACATACAACAAACATCATTTGAAAAGTTAATCATTACTTTGCATTTCGTTATGTTGTTATCGCTGCAGTGCTGATTAGCACATGCAAGGTTGGCATAATATCCAGGCAAAAGAGATGTGGTTTGTCAGATCATTTTTACCTTGACCATTTTGATATATGCATAGCAAAATCGCCAGGTGTGTACACAATGTAAATAGATTTGCAGTTGCGTGGGCCGCATCATGTTCAAGGAGAAGACTTTGAAAGTCCAGAAAATCAATAAAAAATCCTTAACTGCATATCTGCACATATATACATAAAAAAGTCCCCTAGTGATTTTCCCGCCTTAATATGATTTCTCTGTTCCATCCAGTGTCGGTTATCAGTTAAATTGACTTCCCCCATTTACACTTCCTTTTCATTACAAGTTTGTACAGGAATTCCTTAATCGCACAAGGCGAACTAAATTCCGATTAAGCAGTCAGGACTGTCCCTTTGACATTCATTTGTTGCTCTTTTAAAACTTCCACAAGAAATTTTACTGCAAGACAGTACTAATTTCCAAAACTTATTTTAGGAGAGCTCGGCTATCACAAATGTGTGCGCAAAGGGGAAGAAACATAACTGAATCTGTTGAGTTGCGGAGAAGCCTCAATAAGGCTAGTCACATGAAAATGATTTTATAATTTTCCAACTTAATATTTGTAACTCAGCTACTTATAGAAATGGAGCGCTGTTAATTTGTTCCAAACAAATCAGCAAGGACCAATGAAACGTCTGGAAGAGTGCATGGAACAGGGTCACCCAGTACGTATTAGTTTGCGTGGGCGAAATAGCGTGAACTCTTCCATTCAAGCAAAAATTATTGCATTTGATAAGCACTGGAACCTGCTGATAAGGTTTGTCATACATTGACACAAGTCACCGAGAATTCTGTGTTGCCTTCTAATCTAGCCATAACATATTACCCCAAATCCCACTGATTATTATTAATTTTAAAAAAGTAAATAATCAAATAATCGTCCCAAAATGGCCGTAAAGCTACAAGGTGAAATCTTTCATGTTCTCCTGAAATATGTGCTTACTTAACGTGATCCCAGGTGTAATTGTGTTTACTCGAGTACAGATATGTGGTTTCTTTCAAGAAGCAAATATAAGTTGAAAACTTTAAACCTGATTCAACATTATTCATAACTGACAAAGTTTAGTGAGCATTTAATGATATTCATAAGCGTAAATCAACAAAGTAATATAGAGATGGTGATGAGAGTTTCAATCCACCAATGAATATGAAACGTCGAACCACCAAAAGTATACATGCAGTAGGACCATACCAGTATTCTGAAAGCCAATGCGAGGATAGGGAAGGTAAAACAAAAACACTATGGCAACGTCATCTACCGTGTTCTCTGATACGTGGGGACGACATTGTCTTGATATCTGTTTCTCCACAAATGTCTGTTAAGCGTTTTTTACGGTAAGTGCGTTTGCAAAGACATATCTATATTTCTGGTGACGTGCAATTTATGGCAAAAATATTTGGAAGACGTAATATTTAGGAATGACCAGCAAAGAACTGATGGGACAAGGACTCACTTATCAGATTTCAGAAAGTCTTTTCGCCTTTTGCAGGATACCAACAGATAAACATGTGATCTGATTTCACGCCACATAACAATATGTGCATATGATAAAATTATTTTAGAAATTGGATTAATTTTCTAATTCTTCACTGTGCAATAGTATCCGCTTTCATTCGCCTTAGCTGAGCATACTGCGTATCCAACGCCTTTTCTAGTTGTTTACCCTATAACTTTTTCTAGTTTATAACAAATATATTGTTATTCTGTCACAGCATGTAAACCTCTTACACTGAAACTGTATTAAGCTTCAATAAATCAGGTTACTTACCTTATAACTAGACATACACTGACAAAAATTTCGGGCAAAGTGTGCAGGAAGGGACAATTGTAAACACTGGTCGAACCTACAAAGATCGTTGTGGTTAACAATGTTAAACTTCATTTTAATTTAGATCAGAGCAGTAAAACCAACCGGTACGTCTCACCTTTCCAAAGAACAAGACCGTAGAGTTTGTAAACATACATAGATTTCGTGCTGGAGCAAAATACACTGAGCGTCTGTAAGGTCATGATTTCCGTTAAGAGGAGTCTGCAAACGATACTGACCAGGTCATGCTTATAAAATGGTATTTTGTAGAGACAAAAAACTGCTTGTACTGTTAGGCCATACACAAAATCTGATAAAATCGAAGAGTCTCCAGAAAAACAGGATTAACATAACAGAATGCTTTCGCGCGTTAAGATTCAATTACGACCCATTTTGCCAAATCTGCATGGATAAAAAATTACCTGAAGCGCACCACAAACCGCCTTCTCCCATAAAAACTCGATACAGGCAACTGATCCATCGTTCGACAATTTTAGAAATAGTTTACTAATGATTTGGAATGTCATCCGCTGTGTTGGCACATCATTTAAGCTCATGAAGGAAATTAGTGAGTCGGCTATTTTGTTGAGAAATTCGACGCCTTCAAATTAAAGTTATAAAGAGTTAAATTTTTCAATTATCCTCAATCAAATAAGATGAAATCTGGAAATGAATTAACCAGCTGTTACTTTTTGTCAAAAATTTCCACGCAGTGATATACTTTTGTGATTACTTACCACAGTCTGTCAACATAACAGTTAGGTCATGTGTCAAGATGCTCAATATTGTTTGCAGAAAGGCCCGGTTGTAATAAACCATGTCCTTAACATGGCTCTCATTGCATGTATCAACTGAAGTTCTTTGTGCAGCCCATAAAATATCAAACAGAGCTGGGATATTCAAGCCAATTTCCAAAAGACGTTTCTGAAATGACAAAAGTAAGGGTTGTCACCCTCTGTAGTAACAGTAACAAGAACAGAGAATAGAGGAAAGCGCTGCTTAAATATTCAAAATATGACCATATGGAAAACTTAAATTTCTACTTGTTTGTGAACTGTTTGACTATTCAAAAATGGCCACATTATAGTGGGAATTTACCTAACATCTAGTAGTGAAAGAAATCAATTTTGAAGCAAACAGTGAAGTCCATAAGAACATACCTTAAATTTGCTGAAAATTTGCTGCAGTAAAATAAGAAAGTCATGCATCATTTTAAGATCTAAATCGACATCAAGATACTTGTTGCAAATAGCTGGTAACATAGCTAGTATTTCACCATCAAGACAAGTGATCATCCGATGAAGATACTGCCTCAGTGCATCCAATCCTTCGACATTATTTGGAGTTACTTTATCCAGAAAAACCTAATAATCATATCAACTCACTATAGTCCCAATAATTACGAATGTTGGAGAACAATAGCATAGCTTATGGAATAAAGTTTTCATTTCATAATGGATCTTAGCCTGTTTTACGCAGTTACAGGACATGCAACATATTAAGATATAAGATAAGCAAATGAAGAACGTACTTCCATCAATTCAATGAAAATGATAGTACACTGACAGTACTGCATGGTGTAGTTGTTTGAAAATGCTTTAGTAACACGACTGAAAATACGAATAATCTCTAAGAATATGATCAGTTCTTTGATATAATTATCAAAATAATACAATTTCAAAACAAAAACTCACGCGCTGTAACCAATAACATCAGCAAATCGCTGATGAAGCTGCTGTACTTCATCCACATTCTTTGTTCGTGATAGCCTTTCCGTTATACGTGAGAATTTTTGAAGCAATGATAAACCGAGAATTTTCATGCATTCTTGTTTCCTTTCAACGGGTAGATTACTGTGAATAATTAGCACTGATGTAGATTCATAGAGATACATCTGGAATTTAATCAAAACTATTTAATGATTCTAAAAGCTTCAAATATATTTAGAAAAGAAGATCTGATAATTGGAAACAGTTAAAAATTTTCAACATATTTAAAAAACTGCTAGTTTAAACATAAGTTAACTAAAGGATAACATCACTGGTGGGAAAAAGCAAAAACTAAGAGACCCTACAACAGTATATAAAGGAAAACGGAAAACGAAAAAAAAAGACCTGGTCCTCTTTCGAGAGTTGGTAATCTTCTTCGGATGTTACGGTGAAAAATGACTCTAACTGTGCGAGAATATTTTCAGCTTGGCTACCCACGAAAAGCCTGAAAGTATTTTTTTTTTTTTCTAATAAAAACATTTTTTTGAGTGTTTTTTCAATAAAAAAAAATTTTTTTTTTTGCTTACTTATGTGCTTTTACAAAGCGACAAAATAAGTAGATAATGCGACTTCTTGATCGTAATGAAGCCTGACGAATACCACGTGTATCCAAGAATGCTTCCTGAAATGAAAACTAAGAAATGATTGTCTAAGTAAGCATATAGCAATGAAGAGAAAATCCACGTAAACATATGACTGAGCTGAAAAACATTCCCTGAATGAGTCATACATTATATACATAAATGTTTACTAGATATGTAAGGCCGAAATTTGAAATCCAAACCAGTATTAACGGCAGTAGACCAGTACTATTTTGTAAGATCCTTTCATAACGGCAAGCAATTTCGAAGAATAATGTATTGATACAAGGTAATCCACAATGATTTATTGTACTTTGTAGAATCTAAATGAAACACGTAGATATTTGTACGGCTTCAAAGAGAATAACATACAAAAACGTTTTATTGCATTGTTCGGCATAGTCAAAATAAAGTTTGTAATTTCGAAACCTTAATGAATAACAGACCTGTATTGCCAATATTTTTGCACGCTCAGAAATTAAACCACTATTACTTCCGAAATTTGTCTGCAAAAAAAAGGACACATTATTTCACATAGTTTAGATTGACTTGACTTAACTTCCACTTTCCTGACACTAGTTCCTAGTACGTATCGTTTCAATTTTTATAAGTAAAAAGAAATGTCTACCAACAAAATAACTTGTTGAAGTGCAAAATAAACTGTTTAGCTCAAGTCATATATGAATTTATGACAAATGACTAAAATAACACAACATAAAAGTCTTTTAAGTGAGGAACCATTTCGTTTTTCTTTTTTTTTTTTTTTTTTTTTTGGGATATAATTCTGTATATTCAAAAGTAAACTTCGAATTATTCAAAGCATATGAAATAATATACGTGTATGAAGTCGGCAAGATCATACACTAGTGCTAACGTAGCTTCAACAACATTCATTTGGCACTGCTTCCAGTTTTCACATACATTTTGCACTGATGGCTCCAGTTTCATCAATATCGGTTCCGGTTCCTAAACTATGTAACCAACGACTTTTGAAACTAAATAACCGAGAGCATCCAAATATTAACACAAAGAAACTAGTTTAATAATCTAGGAGCAACTTTAAGTTACAAAATGAAAGTTATTCTCGGTTAAAATATTGCATATTGTCATAATTACCCACAGCTGTTTCACGCACCCTGATGTGATTTGATTTCAGCACTCCTCGGTCTTTTTTTTCTCCCTCTCTCTCTCTTACTCCTAAGTCTTGATTAGTCGTTTCGCCCAAATTCAATAAGAAAATAACGTACAAAATTCCCAACTGCTGAAAGCATATTTCGAAGTTGCCTTCTATACGCCATGAATTCAGCAACAACCTCACCATCCGTATTACTTAAATCAACATCACTTGCTGCTTTGTACCTAAAAAACAAAAATTATTTATAATTTTGCAAAAAGTTGTGATAAGAATATCAGAATATTAGTTCCAATGACTTCCTTAATCCTTAATCGTATCTAACTTTTCGACTGGCAAATCAAGAAAAATAAGTCAAATTTCAGTCACTATGTGTACGCACATATCATTTTGGTTAGACAGACAATAACGTGAAGCATGATGCAGCATGCATTTATAAATTCAAATAGAAAAGACAAATTTTTAACATAAATTACTACCTAATAAAAATTTGTGGTTTACTGCCTAATGAAATTTACTATTAACTACCTAATGGAATTTTGTAGTTTACAAACGAATAAGTTAACCTATCTATGGCTATGCAAATCATTCGACTAGTGAAGTCGTGACGCTTCTCAAATTCCTGAGTTTTAAGAATACAAACATAACGCCGTAAAAACTCGACAACAGTTTCAGACGCATCTATATCCTGAAACTTTATAGTTCTCTATAAAAAGTACTTCAGCTGAAATAACAGCAAATGTGAACGAATGCAACAAAATTATAAAAAATAAAGACCTCATTAGAAAAACATAACAAAGCGATATCAGCTTGTTCTTGAAGAAGCACTTCACACTGCATAGATTTTTCTACATCACCAGTTTTTGAAAAGCTGAAAACTATTTTATGCAAAAAGCGTACTTAATCCATTTTACCTTGCCGTATACGGATTTTGCTCTTTTAGTCTAGGAAATGTTGTACAAAGAAATTTTCAGTTCAGAATTTATATCAAAGCATACTGAGATAAGTGAAATTTAGCGTCTTCAAACTACTACGTTCCTTTTTAAGTTGATATCACCAGTTGAATTGAACAAAGTGTGCTATGCGGTACCACTTTGGTGGGAAATCAAAAAGATACCATGTATGGCAATCGATTAAAGCGCATCCTAATGAACTTATGAGAGCTCCAGTTCTCAAAACGTCATCAGCATCATTTTCCTGCAAATATTCTGTTGTATTTCATCCATGAAGGATGGATAAATGAAGTATTTCTAAGAAAACTTCACCAAAATTACTTGGTAATGCTTACTCTCAAATCAAATGACCCGTTCTCACGCAAAATAGTGCAAAGCGATGCAGTCAGTACAAGCTTCTTTTCAGCATCCATACCTTTCGTGACCATTGCATTGATCGCTGATATTGCTGATTCACAAGTGTGTTCATTTTTCAAACAATCTAAAGATCATCATGACAAATCTACCCACTTTGACATAGGGTAAAAATATTTAAAAGTTATTAGGCATATAAACAGCTACTAATAATAAATGGGATGGTAGTGTTGTTGACAACAAGTTCCAAATCAATCCAATCGATGTAACAAGCAATAACATCCAAGCAAAGTTCTCGAGTCTTCAAATCATTGTTTTCAGCCTAAAGATATGGAACGAAGTTTTCAAATCATATGCAATCTGAGTACTGATATTTTTGATTAAAAAACTTTATTTACGGATTTTATAAAATAAGAGACTTTGTTCTTCAGAACAGTGCTAGTAATAATAAAATTCACTTTGCAGTTTAAAATTAATTTCCAGCACGTAAATCGTAGAATATGGTGAAATAATGACAAAAACTTCGAACTGTAGCAGTTCAACAAAACTGGTTAAACTGACTAGTATCTGAGTCCATATTAGTGCTAGACTATAGTTGCAGTTATCACGCATAGCATCCTTTATCCGCATATTTCTTTCAGTCTCCTGCAAGAAAGAAACATCAAAACAAAAGCAATGTGAAAGTTGATATTAAGCAAATAACTACTTTCTAACAAAACAAATTTAACAATAATTACGCATGTTTTTTTTTAAAATTTATTTTATGTAGAACGAAAAAATTAAGTCCAAGTGAAATCTTTATGTAGTTTCTTGCTTATTTACTCTGCTTGTTCTGCATTACTACTTTTCTATCTCGATGACAGTGATTATGAATAATTCTGCACTTCTACTGACATAGAGATAAAAGTACCCAAGTAGGTACAACAATTTCTGAAACAGAACAACAAACATATCCTTTCTTCAAATTGCAATACCTGCTTGGTGCGCCGGATCTCTCGATCAACTACCTCACAGTCGATAGCAATTAAAGTACGCAGGAAAAAGACCGTTATTTCAGGTGATGATACCATCTGTTGGAAAAATACCTACAGGCAAAGAAAACAATCAATCATAACAATTCTTTCTTTGACTTACATTAGCAGAAAAAGCTTTTGGTCGATATAAATTAATATCGACCAAAAAACTAATAAATTAAGCCATTTTAAACCTACTGCACAGATATAAAGGAAACTTGCCTCTTCCATGAAATTCGGCCAACGTTTAGGAAAATCGGTGGCAAAAACCAATGCAAAGAGCTGAGCCATTTTGTTCACCAAATATGACGGCAGATTTTCAGGTGAACTTCTGGAATAAAAATTTGCAGTTTAAAGAATAAGATCATCATTCTGGAAAAACGGCGCATCTTATGTTGGACTTACAGGCGACGCAACCATCCATACATCCATCTTCGAATAATATCCTGATCCTGATCGTTATCCGCATAGCGTACTGTCAAATATGTTTCAATCACCTGCAGAAGCATAAAATGCTCCTCCGGATCACTGAAATTTGTTTCTTTGACGATACCTGTTCAGAAAAATCAAGCCATCATTGCTGTTATATAAAAAAATACCAGAAATGAAACCGGTTTAGTTCATAAAAAAGACTTTTTTAATAAGCATCCGCACCAGCCACTAATGATTTTTTCGATGCAGTTCTTCCAACCATCGCGTTCGTTCTTCAACTTTTCTATGTATTCGAAAATCTGTAAATCAACAAGTTGTATGTTCACTTGTTTCAGCTATGATGCAAATTATCCGTTATAAAAATGGCTTTATGATGACACCCTAAAGCTTTTTAAAATAACTTATAACTAAAATAACTTACCAAGTGATGCTGTGCAGTATTAGCCAATGAAGCAATAGAAATCATAATCAACAGTACCACAGAATCTATGAATGTCACTTTCTTGAACAATACACCTAAACGTTGAAGCGGAAAAACTAAAGCATAAATCTATTAAATACATTTAAGAAGAATCGAAGAAAATCTTTTTCAAAAAGTCAACAATATCCTTTCCGGGATTCATAATCGCTTTGCTCTGCTTATAGGAAATAAGATCTAACTTATCAGAGTCAGTGCTTTCTAGGAAACTGCTGGAAGACTGTGGAAAACCGAGCTCCGACTTGTCAAGAACACTTCGGAGGTGGAAAGCACCAGACACCTGCTACCGTTTGTTGAGCCTTATTTCGAATCGTTCCTCAGCACAGCGAGACACGAAGTTTCACAGCAGAAAAGACGGAATTGGGGTGAAATATTGTAATTGATTGGTGCCAGGCACTTCTAAGAAAGTGTGGATAACTAATCATGGTATTGTTTTCTACCGTTATTGGTGGAGGCGGGGTATAGGTTGAGAAGGTTGCACTGCTTTGGGAAACATTTTCTTGTTTTATCACGTTCGAGGACGACAAAACAAGAACGATTGGGATTTCTTCGAGAAATCCCAGTCTGTTTTCTATTTTTAAACATTTCTGCTGGTACCCTGAATTTTTCATTTTAAACAAAACATGCATTAACCTCATCATGCAGATGAAGACCTGGTAATCCGAAAAAGGCTGACAGAGTTGGTTCTAGGAACAACATCATCCTCTTTCGTTTTTATAGTAGGATACATTTTTTCTTTTATATGTAAACTGTAAAACATGTTTACATGTTTCATTTGTTCAAAAAGAGAGAAGTTCTTGGAAACCTTTTTCTGGTGAAGGAATTGGGAGTCATTTTTGTGAGAAAACATCATAACGAGTCTTATCATAACGATCGTCACATAAAAACTGTGATGTTAGATATAGTTTTCATTGAGCACAGAACTTCTTTGTAGTTTTCCGAAGTGCGTTATTGCTGAAGAAGCGGGGAGACGATGTCCAGTGATGAACAGTCTGATAAAGAGGTATATGTCTTGTCGTTTCTATTTCTTGATCGTAGTAAAGTAATGGTGAGTTAAAATCTTGTCTTCTCACTATCGTATACCTCTCAGCGTGGTTTTTTTATACATAAATGATCATTTAGTCTTCTTTGGATAAGCCGACTAGGCTTTTTAATATTATTAATATTAATACATTATTAAAGTATTATTGATATTATTATTAATTGTTCGATGTCACCAGAGATATCGTGTTTATTCATTTGTACTTCATGAAGTATTTGTTGGTTGATATTCATTGTCGAGCTTACTCTAGGAAATACTGTGTCATTCTTACCTCATTCTTAAGGTTTAATGCGACTTGCTTGCAGTGGCTCTAACTGTAATCTTTTTAGTGCCCCTTGTGCATGGAAGCACTCGAAATCGATGATATCAATTTCTATCCTTGCAAATGTGAATATCAAGTAGGGATGAAGTTTTTTTATTTTTTGTTTTTGAAATGTGTTGAAGGTCTGCTCTAGTATGGTTAGTCTTCACCAGGTAGACGGGCTGACTATTTTAATATGCATATTTCTTTCATTTATCACCATATTTTGCCCATAATGGCACTACTATCGCGAGATACGCTGACGGAATAATCAGATTTATTTCCAGATATGTAGATTTTGTTGGCATCGATTGCGAACCGATGAGAATGGGTTATGTCCGGCATGTAGACAACCGTATCCAGAAGATCCTGTGAACTTCAAACCTCTGACGGCTTCAGATGTCCAGAAGATGAAAACAGAAAAGCGACAAAAACAACAGCTGCAGAAAATCAAGATATGCGAGTCTAGGAAACATCTATCCTCATACAGGTTTATTTTTTGTAGTGGAACTTCTCAAGAAATGAGACTTATGGAAAATATTTCAGGGTGCTACAAAAGAATCTCGTATATGTAGTAGGTTTGTCGGCTAGGGTTGCAGATCCAGAAACTTTAAAGAAGCCTGAGTATTTTGGAAAATATGGCCGCATACTGAAGGTAAATCTTGCTAATGTTGTCTTGTATCACTGAAAAGAAGATTATAGAAGTGCATTAGTGATTATATGTATGATACTCCGTTACTTTAGGTTGCTGTGGGTTCTTCAGCATCACTGAGTGGTCCACAGTCGGCATCATGCACAGCTTATGTAACTTACGCGAGATATGAAGACGCACTTAGAGCTATACAGGTTTGTATTTTGACACTAGCTTGTCAGATTATGTGAAGGTCAATTGCTTAAGTAAGGTCTTTTGAAGAAGTGATATCATAAGAGGATATGGATCTTTATGATTTATAGAATTTTTCACACAGTTTTGTTGTAGGCTGTTAATAATGCACAGTTAGATGGACGTATTGTGAAGGCATCACTTGGGACAACTAAATATTGTACAAATTTCCTTCGCAGTCAGCCCTGTTATAAACCGGTTTGCTTGTTTTGCGATGTAGTTATATAACTTAACTGGCTTGTCCTGACTTTTCCTAAGTTTTTTTCACTGATACTTCTCATGATATGGCGAATATACATAGGTTTATTCTATATGGATCTCATGAACGAGATTCACGTGCTTGCTTCTTGATTTCTTGTTTAATATTTTGGTATCAAAAGAATACAAAAGTAGAAAGTTTTATAAACTAAAAGTAGATGATTGATTGTAGCAGTGAGGATTTCTGCTTTATTATAGGAATGTATGTATCTGCACGACGTGGCAGATACTGAAGTCAGTTTTACCAAAGATGATATGCACCTTGGGCGACATGCGGAATATGAAAAACGATTGATTGAATCAACTCTCAGGGAGAAAAGTCAAGGTGAAAGGACGTCGTTTATGACTCATACGGGTGGAAAGACATCAAAGTAAGTGTTGTATGGTTGCAGCACATGCCTTCTGTTTGTTCATTCTAAAAAGCGATTGATGACAACGATTGGGACAAGATGCAGCGAATAAGACTGCGAAGTTTTAGTGAAATTTTGCTGTTTCCTGGTTGCTGGTTTAGATGATTTCATTTGTTTGTATTTCACATGTTGTCTTCCGAATTAATTGTTTTTATTTTGTTTTAGAAGTGAAAGCGCAGAGCGTGAACCGGATTTTCGCTCAATACCGATGGATAATACGCAGGACAAAGGGAAATTCTTTCAGAATAAATCATCATCGAGTGATATAAAGATAACTCTAAACAAAATGAATGGGTAGGTAAAGAACTTACCATTGCATTGAGGCAAGCTTTGCTAATAGTTGATAGCTTTAAAATGGTCATAAATTTGTGAATTTCTTGCTGTCGAAAAGTATTTTTGTAATGAATGATTAACTAATTCTGGAAAAATAAATTATGATCGCCAATCTTCAGTTATGATTTATAACTTTTTTTTTTCTCTTTTTTTCAGGGAGGTGCTAGGAAAGCAGTTGTCTTCTGTGACAAATAAATTGGTTAGTAAGAATAAAGGGGCAGATAAAGAAAACGAAGTTAGTCATATTTCGATATCTGATTCTTTTTAATGTTATTTACTTCTGTTGTTTTAATAACTCTCTTTCTATTTGTCTTATTTTCGGCGGAGATCCTACAGTGTTGATTTTTTCAGAGAAAAAAGTGGAAAAATGATAGAACAGGAATTAAAATTATTTGTCTCAGATTGTAAGCAGTCACTTTGATTTATTGCTTTTTTTTGCCAGTTTAACTTTGAATTTCTCAGGGCGGAGTTTTAGGCTCGATCTCAGTTTGAGAAAACTTCGGAAATAACAAATGACATACCATCGTCGGCGATGCTTGAACAGCCATTAGTGATTCCTGCAGGAAAAGTTAATGAGGGGATTGGTTCAAGGCAAGTTTCATGAAGCACGAATAACGTGTAATAGATATGACATTTGTTTTGTTTGTTGGGTGATGTTTGTATTTCAGATATATCAAATATAAGACAGGCAGAGGTTAAGAATAACTGACACTAGTTAGGCGGAACCAGTTTTCATATCTATATTTGTTGTTTTGTAATTTCAATTTTTTTTTTTTTTGGTTTAGTTGGAAAACTGGACATTAGAAATTTTAAAAGGGCTAGGTATCAAGATTGGTTAAAAAAGTAGCTGACTGGTGTTCCTAGAACGAATTTAGAAGGTCGTGTTTTCATGACATCATTTTTAGAATTATTAGGTTTTGATATAGTTTTTAACTCTTTTTCTGAAAAATGCTGTGGGATTAAACTTCTTCTGTTTTAAATCCTGAGTTGTAAAAATTAAGGGTTCAGTTTATTGTTAGGTGAATTTAGATCTCGGTTGTCAGAATGGATTTCATCTAGCCAAAGTGTTATGCCGCTTACGGCCACTACGTGCGCTTCAATAGAGAAAATGTTTTTAAATGTTAGTTGCTTTTCATATTTTTTAGCATTGTTGATTGTCAATTACATGACCTTTTAATAGATGGAACAGATTTGGTAATTACTGTCATCACGTGGCATAGTCTCACTTTTTAATTTTTCTGAGTGTAGTTGGTATTTCTGTGGAAGACAGTATTTGACACTACGGTAGCCGTGAGCTATGTGGAACGTGAGGCATTTCGTTTGTTGTACTGTTTCTCTTAATCACGCAGCCTTAATTTACGGGATAGCTTCATTAAATCTAGATTATTTGGAGTTTTTCTGATATTTTACTGTTCCTTACGAGAATTTTCCATTATTTTTTTTTTTTTCACATCATTTCAAATTACTAAAATTTTGATGCTTTTATAGACTAAGGAGAAAGTGGATGTGAACAATACGAAAGCGTTACCGAACAACCATAGTTCACAGTCGGTAAAGGACACTACACCATGTGATTGGCAACGGGCGCTAGGAATTTGTGGAAAAGTTGACAGCTTGACAACAAAGAATGCGACGACAGATTTCCCTACACCATTGTTTAGTTCGCAAACTAGAATGTTGCCGAAGAGTACACGTCTTAGTGTACATAGTGATGATGATTTAGGTTGCTTTTTCACTTTATTTCTAGGAAATCCTTTAGCTGTTCTTTGGGAATTCGTTTTATTAATACGGCTGTATTTGTAGCAATATTTTATAACTAGCGATATTAGAAAGTTAAGCATCAAATACATTTCGCCGTAATTTGGATAGACGAACTAAAAATCACTACTAAATGAGTTTAGTATCAGATTCGTTAAGATGCGATTTAAAATAAGGAGGTTTAAGGCTTTGATCCTATTTCGGAGTCCGCGAAAGGTCTAGCAGATTTGTTGGAGGAAGAAAAAACGATTTTGCCGCAGTGCTCAACACAGAAGTAACAATTGTTGTTTTTCCATATTCGTGTTTTCTCTATCTGCTTCGTAAATTTCGTATATAAATATCTTTGTTATTTTTTTAAATGGTCTGTGGTTTTTTTATGTTCCATCGTTATTAGTAGTTTGCGAATTTGAAAAATTTTTTTAGTGTTAGTGGAATGACGTCTGTATCGTCGTCACTGATGTCACTGGGTCTGCAATGTGGTTGGCCCTCGATGGGTATTTCGAATGGTGCTTCTCCAATGTCGATGAAAAATGCACTTGGAACAGATGTTGATTTAACAACGGCAACGAACAGTTACGTCAATGTCGATTTTTCACAGCCATTAAAACTTTCCTCACAGACCGCCCAGACATTCAACCAGCAGCTGACATCAGTATTTTACACTAATCAGTACTCGCCACATGCGTATTTCCCACCTTCAAAACCGCAGATGATTCGAGTGAATAATTTCGTAAATCCACCCACTAATTTGGCTTTCAATTCAGCACAACAACAGCGATGCCCCTCCTTCAGCAGTAATACACAGTATCAGTCAAACGTTTCTTTGACTACAACAAATCAGATTGATGGTGCTAAGCTTCACGAGTGGCAAGAAGGTTTTCGGGCGCTGCTACCGAATGTAAATGTTCGTTTCGTACCCGATCTTAATACTGCAGGTTTGTCACTTTTGCATTTGCAGAACCAGGTGCACTTTTTGAGTCGGTATTCATGTACAAGGAATTTCTTATTGTTAACATTGCATGTCTACGGGTTTACTTAATCGGAGGAGCGGTTATTTTTAAGCTTAAAATTAAGTAGGTAAAATTATTGCAGGTTACTCACCTAGTCGGACATCACCCATGGAAATGCAACACACTAGCAGTCAATTTCCTTCATCCATAAATTATGATCAAACAATGCCAATGTCAGCACAGCTTTTGAATTCAATGGCATCACCTGCTCCTCCACCGGTACCATCCATAAATTCCTACTCACATCCATCACAACAATGGATGATGCCACCGCCTGGTTTTTCATACGTTTCCAAGCGATGAAATAAAATGAATCTAGTTGTATTTTAGTTATCGCTTATGATTTGTATTTCTATGGAGAATTTTTTTTTTCTACTAGATTGCTTTTCTTTATGGTATCCCGTTTTTTTTGTGCTTCACCGAGGTCTTGAAAGCATAATGTATAGCAGCTACTAAATTTCAAAGTGCAATTTGAAACAGAGGTTCGACTGCTTTTGTCGATTGAAAGTGTTGTAGTGCATGGTCCTACATCTTTTTACCCTATCGGGGCTTTGTGTTAATTTTCTCATCATTAAAACTATGGTCGGCCACTCGTCTCTTGCCATCGTTTGGATGTTACTATTTGTATGGTATGTTGGTTCGTCATCGAAATTATTTATCTTTATTTTGCAGAGAACTTGTGATTTCCTGTACTGTGATAAAGTTTACTGTTGTGCAAAATATAAAAGAAATCAAATTTAGTGTGCTCAAGTGCTTGTATTATTTGTTCACCTCCTCAGATCAAGCATGTTTTATTCTTACCGGAAGTGTTGTAATGTATAACATTTTTTCTTCCAACCTGTCTCGCGTGGATGATGTAGCGAGCAGGCTACATTATCTCTGAATAGTTTGTGTTCCAAAAGTTTCTACCGTTAGTAAAATCTTCAGCATTCACTGCTGTTCTTTCTTTACATCCTAATCTTTGAATAGGTTATTTACTGCGAGAGTTGTGGGTGAATTTCGAAAAGGAACTGCAACTCTCGGCTGCGCTATTTTCGTTCCGTTCCCCGAGCTTTATTTTTAGTAAATATGTCATTTATGAAAATTGTGATTTGGGGATTCACCCGACTGCCAAGATTAAACAAGTTGCCAGTTGTTCCGTATTGCTTCGAAAGCGGAAACTTATTAGTGAAGGAGCAGTTTAGTAAGTGGCTAGAGTAGTATTTCTTGTGAATTAAGTTGGGGAATTTGGCATGCTGAGGTAAATAAGACCCAGAATCTTCATTCGAAGTTCTGAATGAAATTTTAGGATGTTTGACCGGTTTCCTTGAGTCCTTGTTAGTAATAGTATGCGGTTGACTTATTCAAATTGCCAGAACGACTTCAGTATCAGAAGTGAATAAAGGCAGCAGTAAGAGAAGTTTGGAGTTTTGTTGATTTACAGAGTATAAATCGTCGTTATAATGATCATGATACAGCAATAACTCTTATATAGAGTTGACATTCCTAAACTATACTAAGTTAATTAACTGTATAAAATTCCAAAAAAGAAATATAATTAACAGTCATTGTCGCGAAGCTCGAAATAATTTATAATAAAATTGTGCTACAAATATTTTTCACGCAAGTGGGTTACCGCGTAAATAATTTAGTACATGTTACAGTGTCGAATATGACGAATCATTTACCTAATTTTTCATTCTTTTTGATTACCATGCTCATCTTTAATGGTTAAATTATCGGAAACCAATACACATGCCAATGTTTTCGATCTCATAACCAGTCGTGTTTCAATCGTTAAGCTGTAATCAGATCTTTCTTTACAGTCTTTATCAGAATGTAAACCAGTTCTACTCTATATATTTATATAATTTATTTGGGAAGTCAGAAGAGGACTAGAGAGGGGCATTATTTCTCGATGTCAATCTTCACTTCTTATCCTATTATACTTGCTAATAAAAATTATCTCCAAATGTTTCAATGTTATTCTACACTACTGCCATCTATATTCAAGCGAATCCCTCCCGGACCAACAATTAAAGAAAATCCCATCAGTAATCGACTCTTAATTGACAAATCACAATTGCCCTATGACGTCTAGCCTTTCCTCCAAACCAGAGCTCTCTCAAAACAAAAACGAAATTCACAACAATCATATGTAATTATAAGCTAAGGCTTTTTCGTCAGCCACGAATTGGATCTCCAATTTAATCGGTTGTTTGAGTAAGATTGAGAGAAATTCTTCAGCGAATCCAAACATCCAATATATTTCACGGATATTCAATCTATTCCGGTAATGGAAAAACCCCGCTACACGAATACAGTTTCCTTGCCGTTTGATAACCAACTGAAAAAGTTATATAAATTTCTTAAATAGTAGCTATATGCTGACACAAGCTCATATGCTGAACTAATCAGAAATTTAAACTACACTTAAAAGTGACGAAACCGACCTCACTTCCATCAACGGTTATGTAGTCTGGGAAAAAACTACGTACGAAGCGACGAATGATCTCATCTTGTGCTATCTGAAACAACTTTAGTCTTGAATGCTATAGTTTTGAATATCGAAATGACTAAGTTAAAATCAAATAATCAGCAATTATCACGTCCTTTTGACTACTTTTTCCAATATAAATCAATTTCTCGCATCTGTAGAAAGGTATCTGTAGACCAACAGACATCTCATCATTAAAACACAGCATACCACGATAGGTTGACGCTGCCGAAACGTTTCCAAATTTTGTGAATGCCACGTTAACCATGATTTTTTAACTCCAATATGATGGGGTCGGTGAGCCATTTCATATGTAATCATCTGCTTTCGTCCACTTGTTGTCTGAAAGATAATTATCTTGATTATCACTAATACAAACATAACCAGTTAAGGATTTTCTGAATGGCAATATACTACTGTTCTTCTGTAACAACGGCACTGTCCCTGGCTTAATACAACAACAAAGATACCCTATATTTTCCAGCGGTATTCTTTTGAAGTGGATACGATGTCGACATGAACCTTTCAAGCTTAACAGTGCTCTCGACATTTCGAAGTGAACTCCTTGTCATGCAGATCAGAATCATATCGTTCCAAGTTCGTCTGCAACCTACAAACTTCAAACAAAACGAAATGATGAATGAACATACAAGCGCTACCAGATGTTAAATAGATACACTAACATGGTCATATGATCGTGGTGTCATTTACCAGCTCTCTTCTACATTGTATTCTGGTACTGATTGGTGATGGTTGATTTGCTTGCTGTTGGACAATGTCGCTTGGTTAACGGGGATGTTTGTCGTAAAGCCGAATGTTAGTGTCAACTGAATGAATATGAAGGAGGAAGATGAGCTAACTCGATTAAAACGGAATGCTTCGAAACTTCTTCAGCAAGCTCATGAAAAAACACACGCTCGGCAACGCCAGTATGTCTGGTTTATTTGTGAACTTCTTTCAAGTTGTTGAGAGGGCTGGTAGTATACTTACGGTAGATGGTGGTTAATTATACATTTTTATCAAGGATGAATGTAAAAAGAAAAAACAAGCCTTTTCCCGGCGTATATGTGAGTTTACTTTAGAGCTTTTTTTTTTTTCAGATCACCTACGAATGGAAGATGCCGATCAGCATGTGATCAGCTGGATGCACGCGTCAGAAGACGATTGAACTCTTTCACTGTATGCTAAAAGTTAATTTTTTATAAAATGACACGGATTATGATTCGAATGGTTCATGAGATTGAACTAAAACTTTGTCTTGTGCATTATAACATGATGTTTTTGTCCAAGACATGTTATGGTGTGTAACTCAACTCACTGTAGAGACGACGTAAGGCTTTCCATTCATAACGTAGTTAATTCCTGCGCTAAAACTAACCCCATTTTCAGGCAATGAGGTGGGCTGGGAAACCAAGGAAGTTGTCGCCTCTGCTGTTTGCATCACATGGATGGGTTTGTGTATCCCCAGAGATGGTGCGGTGTGAGGCCTGTGGTCAATATATGAGTGTTATGATACCCTCACTGTTGCATGCTGATGTTACTGTTTATCAAAAATCAGTCAGGTCCTTCTTTACATTTGCAAACTTTCTTTATACTCATAAAGGAAGTTAAGCTTCTGTAGATTTGTGTATTCGTCTTTCACAAAGCTTATCTCCTTGAACTATCCGTTTTATTCGTCTCTCGAATATATTCATGTTTATCTTATTATTTCCTCGAACAATTAAGACGTCGCGTTTTTATCAATAATGTTTGAAATTTGTTAAATCCAGTCACTATAAAATCACTAAAGCATATAAAAAATATGAAATTGAATATGTTTTAGAATGCTCGTTTCCATGATTACCATGAAACATTATGTTACATGTCCATATAGATATACTTCTTCCGGTACGGACGATGCCATACCACTTAACGCTCTTTGCAAAGACGTTGTTAATCACAGGTAATAACTGTTTTGTTGATGAATTCAAATGACTGTGATGAAAGGAAGAATGAAATTTTACACTCTAAGTTAAAAATCCCAGCGATATCTTTATGGTGTAAAAATTAGTATAACTGAAAGTACAGTTTCGTGCCGTTAATTTTTAACTAGACCATGAGAGGACTCCACTGATGGCTTATGAATGAACTTCTTTAATATTTCACATGCAAAATGTGGTCCCTTCATCACTACTATTTGACACCCTTTGACTTATGGAATCAAGATTTTTTCCTTGTTGCTGACGGGCATTCAGAAACTCAACACGAAGGTGATGGAACGAGTGGTCTTGGGAGTATATTACTTTACAACCACATAAATTTATACTATCAACATTAATTATATAACTAGCACGAACCGTTCATTCCAGGTGTGAGATCATGAAGAAGCTTAATCTTGAGCAAATTAAAGTGGATGTCCCCGAAATCCCATCAACTGTGGTTCTTGAAACCACTGTACAAAAATGCAAAGCACTGATTTGCTTTGGCTGGCAAAAAAGGTTCGTTTTTCTCTTTGTTAAAAGTGTAATAACTTGATCGTTTGGTGGTAACGCAAGCACGTAAAAAAAAATCACATTTATCAATATTTTTAAAAAAGATTTGTGGTACTAGTTTTAAAAGTTTTGTACAATCCAGAGATCAATTATCTGGTCATCTAAACATATGTTTCAGCGTGTTTAAACACAACCGTTGCCATTTCCAAGTTGTTGGAAGTTTTGGCCTGCTTTCGGGACAGTAAAAGTCTAAATTATATTTGAAATGTTTCGAGTTCCAAGAAGAAATCACTGCATTTCATCTCTATTGCAGCAAGTATTTGGACGATACTGTAGTTTGTAAATTCTGTAATAGGACAGTGGGATTATGGCTTTTAAGAGGACACTCTTTTGACGTTGAGAAACAGCATCATAACTGGTGTATTTTTGCATCAGATACAAGCCGACACACAGATGGATGGCAGTGCCGTCATTTTGTACTCCAATGCATCAACAGCTCAAAGGCGAGTCAACTGTCAAATCTCCATAATATATTTCAAAATATCTTCTGCAGGTCATCCAGAAACCACCATTTAGAACAAAAAAATTTTAGGACCTCCCTATCACGAACTGGGCCGCCAAAGCAGAAGTTTGGAAATCAGCTCTTATGCCGAAAAATATATCGTCTCTCATAAGAGAAAGAAGTGCATAAGCTTCTTTGCGACAAGGAAGCTCATCAATTCCATGAAGAAATTCTATTTCCCAATCTTTTTATACTCTTGTTTTCTTTAAATTAATTCGCTAAAAATTGTTATTTCTATATTTTAATGCATTAATCAAAGTGGTCTTTTGTTCACCAGTAACTGGTTAATGGTATTACATGTACAAGTAAAAACACAAACCACATGTAATTTGGTAAGCTGTCTAATGAGTCGACCCTGCAGAGTCATACAGTTATAGTGCACATGGAATTATTTACAAATAGTTTCTAGCTCTGAAAACAAAACCTGAAGGCTTAAGCACACAAAACATGTTCAAAAATATTTTACATCTGAGAATAGGCACCACTCGCTGAAGTTGAAATAGCAGAACGTGTCTATATTTACAATATGTAAAGGATTGTAAGGCTAACTTTTGCAAATATAACATGAATATGTGGTCCTATCTCAGAATTATGAAAATGCATGCTTTGCCTTCGGGAATAAATGCTCTTCAACTTTCAGAGAGTTTCCAGGATTAATTTATGTGCCGTTCCTGCCGTTTCGCGTTGTTACACCGAGAGCTTTGAAAATTGTACTACGTCTGGCACTTACAGGAGGTTTCGATGGAACAGGTTTACGTGTTTGTGATCCAACAATAACCCCGTTTTTGCCATTTCGTGGCAAAGAGGCGCTTCGCTTACCTGAAATCCGGCGTTTATATGTCGTGCAAGTAACAACTCCTTGGAAACGAGATTCTTGACATCACGGAAATTCAAATCCATTCATAATTTTGTGTAGAAAGTGCTGTTTCACTCGATTTATAACTAAGATTGAACTTACGCACCTGTGTTCATCGATTCGATCACTACACCCAAATGCTCAATTTCAGGTTCAGCCGAGTATGTATTTTTCACTTTTTCGGACGAATCTGATAAGTTTGACATTCCTTCGCGATCATGCAGTGATGAATGATTATCATTGCCGCGCAGTGTTATCGGATGTAAAGTTGTCGTAGAATGTTGTCCTTTCCTTAAAACGAATAATGAATATTAACTATGGAGAGATTTGAGATTTGCGACAAAAATAAAAGAATATGAAACTAAAAGGAGTTCTCTTTAATCTATTTTGCCAACATATTTAAGGAGATAAAGTGTATTCGGAAAAAAGCTAACTTTGCCGAAGAAAGTGGAACAATTGATGAGGCTAATAGAGAACATGGAAGAGGAACACGACTCTGAAAAATCCGGTTACTTGCTGGAAAAGTCGAAGAAGTGGTAAGTCGGGGTCGTACTGGGTGCCTCAAATCGCTGACTGCTGGCAGTGAGTCTGATGCTGGGTTTTTGGACGGTGGCAGAACATTTGAAACACTTTTATTTGCTACAACCACAGAGCCGTCATCGGAAAATCGTAACTGAAGAAAGATAAGTAGCAGACTTCTATGAAGGCAGTTTTCCTGGCATTTGATCGAAGGATATAGTCTGAGGCCAAGGCCTCAATTCGCATCCCAGACTCTCACTATGTGGGTCTCGAGACAGTGAGATCTCTTCCTTGTTCAGATAAGATAATATAGGTTTTAATATAGGAGTGAAGGTTGTACTAATTATAAATTATGTCCCAATACCAATAAAAGTAATCACTGTGGAACAAAATCGATTTAAATTTGCCATTTCACAAGACAAATATTAAAATTTTAGGAAAGAAAATGTATTTTGAAGCTGAAATCTAGTACGAAATTGTCTTAAATTTATAATTTTGTCAGAAACTGTAATAAATGCTCACGTTATTTGCATAAGTTCGCGTGTTAGCAAGTATATTGGTACGCATGAAGGACAAATCCTCCTCTTGATTTCTTACAACCTGAAAACCTACCAAATGTGAATCGGATAAATTCTTAATCCATCACCGGGAATTACTTAGAAAGTATAAGGTGACCTCTTTGAGAGACTGCACTTCGGAAAGAGCTGTATCCAATGCTGTACGCAGTTGGTCCCTTTCTGAGCGTAGGGCAGTTACTTCCTTTCGCATCTCTGCAAGCAATGCTGTTTCTTGAGCATAGGACGAACCTGCAAACATATGCGATACTAGGGATACAAAGAAATAAAGTCTCATTTCGTGAATTTATATTATTATTATTATTAGAAAACACAATTACCACGGCCATTTTGAACTTTCAACTCATGCACTTCAAACAACATTTGCTTTCTTTCATTTACCAAGAACAACACCATCGACTTGTGACGTTCCTGTTCATCCCTCAATTTTCTCTCCAATTTTTCCACTTCCTTATGAGCTTTCTCACCTTCTTTTTGCTCATATTCCAGCTTAAAAAAACTTCTGGTACTTATTACATCAAACGAAGCACGATTAAATTTAGATTTTGTCAAACGGGATATACTTAGAAAACATAAGGTTGTCTATATATCTAATCTAATTACTTCAATCCAGAAAGGAACACACAAGAAACTCTGAAATTGTTCAGCATATAGCTGCCTGGAAGCATGACCTATGTAACAGGCACTTGAAATTACTGTATATTAAAATAATTTCATTTTTACTTTTCTTGACTTACTCGGCAAGAAAAAACATAATTAGGAAGGAAAAAATAAAGAACTGGTCTCATTCGAACAAAGAAGAGAATACTTCTGCACTTGTAAAACGCACCTGCTGACGAAGACGAGTTCGTTCATTTTCAAGAAGAACACAAAGATCATCGCCCTGTGCTGCATCTGCTGCGGAACGCTGCTTTTCCTCATCTAACTCTCGCAGAATACGTGCATGCCGCCTCTCTGTAGCTGCTAAAATCTAAAACAACGATGCTTTAATGCTTGGAAAAATACCATTAAAAGACAACAAAAAAATTAGAGACATAAGTTATACTGATATTATCACTGTTCTTGATTCACTAACTTTCCATTCTGTATGAATCCTTTTTCTACGCTTCTGTAAAATTTGATTCCAAAGTTTAACTCCTTCAAATCCAATAGCAATTGGGTGAGTTTTTGGTAGACTAAGCTGAGCTTTCCTTGTGACTTGTGTTATCATTATCATAAAGAGAAGGACTACCTACCACAACTGTTAGAAATACTGTTTATCAGTAGAGAAAGTTGCATTGATATATTTCTAACTGTTTTGTCCTAATTCTTTTTACAAAAACAGGTTTCCCCGTAAAAAAGAAACTTTATTAAATGAACATTAATAACAGTAGTACATTTACTGAATGACATTGCCATTTTTAACTTTAAAACTGACCTGTTTCGAGTGATTATGACAGCGCCGTTGCACAGTAATTAAGCGTTCCAGCTGCATTAGCTGGGTTTCATACATATGTCCAATTGCAGATTCATCAACTTCATTTCCCTCAACCACAAAACCGGAATCACGCTGCAAGGCTTTGATTGGATCATTGCCGGCAAGTTGTCCATATTTGGCTTCATGTAACAATTGCTTCGCTTTTTCTGACTGAAGTTTTTAAAACTAGTGGTATTCTAGCACCAACAAATATTCAAAGGATCAATAATTATGGAAATCAAGTAATGAAAGAAATTTCACCTTCAAAGTAGCTATTACAATATCACGGGCCTGGATTTCACCTTCGCAATAGGCTAAAAGCCTTAAGAGTTCTTCAGTCGAAAAGTTTTTTTGAGTAGACTGTACTATTAACTCGTCATCCATGAATCCAGTTCATCAAAACTCATCAGTGATTCTTATATCAACGAACAGAATCCTGTAATCTATGACAAACAAGCATAAAAACTTTTTGTAGAATTACGCTATCACTACGAATGCGTTAAATTATCTACCCGGTTTCCTTGCGCAAGTCTCATAAATTATCCTAAAATGCTGAAACTCATCAGTACACCTGAATGGAAGCAGTAGCTTTCCTCGAGAAAAACCACTGAATAAATCCATTACCCAGCAGCAACAACTGAAAAGGACGTTTTCACGACATCCTTTTTCTTACTCATAACATACCTCATGGAATTTATCACAGGGTATGTTGTGAGCAAGAGCAAAAATTACTATACAAAACTGTACGAGAAAGAATTTGAAAAATCATTTTACGCGTACAGGAAATTGAGCAGAAGTAAAATCCGGAACGCAGGAATGGAAAAACCGAATATACAAGCAACTTACGAGCAGATGAATTCACAAACCGATAAATAAAAATTTTTTAAAAACAAACTTAAAAAATGACATCAATGTATTTCAATTTTCCTAAACTAAATTTTTGTCCGAAAAACAACTCTTGTCAATACAGAAAGCACAAAGATAAGTGAAAAGTAAGCAGAAGGTAAATTAGAAATAAATAAAGAAGAATTAATTTTCTTGAGTTGGTTTATTACCAATGGAATGTATTGTACCTTCCACTCATTACAGTCTAATCAAAAGTTGTAAGATATAACCAAAATCTCTAACTGGTGCCTTCAGAGTAAACGTTCTATTTTTTCATTTTATTCCTCACTCTGCTAATTGCGAAGTATAACGTCACAGTTCCAGAACTGGATCTGAAGATTAATGGAATAATGAAGAAACAAGGCAACTTATCATACAAAACTAGCTTATCGGTAGGAAAACATTACATATTCAAAGTAAAACTAAACTGTTACCTGACTCCAGCAAGCAATCACTTATCACAAGGAAGAATTTCTTATCCATTGTTTAAATATCTTGAATGAATACAAATTAAGAACACACATTTCTTACATTTCTAAAGCACAGACCAAATAAAAAAAAAAAAAAAAAAAAAAAAGAGACGAGGTGTTTTTAAACTTAACACATGAAACAATTTTGAAACAAAATATTATAAGATGTAAAACGAAAGAGTATCAGTTTTGACAATATATGGTATCCGGTCATTCCAGTTTCTCTAAAACGCTTCTCCCTAGCAGCTTTTTATATTAAGTCTTAACAATACCCATCATGCCAAAGCAAAACTTTATGGAAAATATGCTCCAGCCTGCTCGCAACTTTCATACGACCAATTGCGCTTTAAATTACCGTTGAAGTTATTCTCACTAAATGCGATGTGTACTGTTTAATGATATTTTAAAATATAGTACTTTATCTTTTACTTATTTCCATAATAAGATTACTGTCTAATAAGTTAGTGGGATTCATGCTCAGTAAACCATAGAAAGCATTCTCCATTCACCTCCTTTATTTCTATCCATTCTATTTCCTCAAGCACTTTCTGCAAAGCTCCAAATACTTTTATTTAACCGAAGTCGATCAACATCATTAGATTCGCAATAAAAGATGTCTCCTAACTTTTGTGTGTGATTAACAAAAATACCATACACAGTAAAAATAACACAATGCTGAAGAATGCGTAATCTAGAAAATTCAAAAATAAGACAAGATAATAACGACCACTGAATCAATCCACAACCGCTAATAAAAATTGTTGTTAACATTAAAGGATCAAACTTGATTTTAAATAACAAGACCTAAGAGTAGAACAATGAAGATAAACTTCATCGGGAAAGTTGATACCTGGCAGTTTTAACTCACAAAACATATACCGCTTGCATTCAACTTTTCTTACTTATTTGCTTGCTATCAGCGATTTTTCATATCAAATTTATTCAAATAAACAAATAAAAATCCAATTTCTGGAAATTTGATAGGTGATCCATGAGAGTCGCAACTTTTTAACCAACTATTCGCCATGATAGTTGACATCACCCCTCAAGGCTTTAGTCTTGTCACAAAAACATTACCTACGTAGATCCCACTGTAACTCACCGTACCCGACAACTGAACTCATCACGTCCAAGACTTCAAAGTAGAACTCTGTGCACCTTACTTCCGAAACAGCAATCCCGGAAATCACCTAAATCAGGGTTTTGTGTTCAGTTCGTGTGCATAATGAAATTGGTCGGTCCGGTGGTGTGCGTTAGTGATTGAGTCGTGTTTAGTATCTGGGAAATGTGGTAATGAACGATGTCCTATTCTCTCCTTCTGGTCTTCTCTATACTTCACTTAAACCCTGAGTTGAATAGTTAGAATCAAGCACACTGTCACATCTGTTAATGGAGAAAAATGGACTGTATAAAAAAGTGGATTGCAGTTTCCTCCAACTTCTTTTTTTCTCCAAAAGTTTGAGCTATCGAGATAACATAGTAGATTCAGTCGTTGACAGTGACACACGTACAACAGCACAAAACTGGATCACATTTCTTGAGTATAGGTGGTAGTCCTGAGAGTACTATACCGAAGTCCTGGTGTGCTGGCAAAAAAAAGAAAGTTTATGTGAATATCTATAGCAAAAAAATAACTGTATAATGGCTGTGTACAGAGTAAACATAGGAACAGTACAGGAGTTACATCACTGAGCAAACAGTTGTATTGCGAGATTGATCAGCTCGCAGTTGTTGCTGTGCTGGTTGTGATTCGTCTTCCGTTCGTGTTGTAACGGAAGCTTTCACAACAATGATATCTCCTTCTGTATCGCTTTGCTCTAACGGGATTCCGAGGATTTCAGCAGCTGTTTTCCTATAAATTTACGCTTTCTTGATGATTGAACTATTACACAGGTCTTTTTCTTGGTTAAAGAAACATGCGTAATGAATGCTTTAAAGAATTTTCCATATGCTAAATATTTAGTACGCATAATAAAAAAAGAAAATGAAGATCTACTTCGACTAAGGAACAACATCTGAATTGTAACTTGCTTGATCAAGACCAAGTAAAGTAAAATTCTAAAACTTACCTAAACATAAGCGTAACACTGTCACCAGTTTTTGCCGACACGTAATAACTGGACATTCCATACTGTAATGCGAATTTGGTGTGCCTTTCAATGCGAATAACTCGACGATGTTCCAAATCTGTTTTATTACCAACAAGCATTAGTACCACTGGCTGAAATATTTTAGAAACTTGAGCCACAAGCTTTTTTAGAGACTTATAAGAAACTGAATTTGAAGTTGATGACGGATAAAGCGAAAAGTTCGAGAAACTGTTAGAGTGAAATATAGTGTTTGATGCGTATATTTAAGTTGTTAATTGTCTCATAAAGGAATGCGAAGTTAATGGAATATATTTCATTTTATATGATTTCCATTTCAGAATCTGTGCAAAAATGATGTTATTTTAAACCGATTTGTGAGTTCGAAGTTAAGGAAGTATGAGCATCTGATTTTCTCAGCTTCTGAGGAAACAAAAATCAGTATCTATGTAATTTGCATGATGTAAATTTGAGAGCTTTCTTTATATCGCTTACTCTTTCCTGAGTTTTGGTAACTTGCTTGATGATATTTATCCAGTCTTCAAGATTTTCAAAACTTGAGCTGTTGGTAACATCGTAAACAACAACAGCGCCATGTGCACCGTTGATGTATTTTTCAAGCATCGGACTTGCGATACTCTGTCCTCCAATGTCCCAAATCTACAAACTATGATGGTAGCATAATACCCAAATAAAAAACTGAGTTTTCGAAATAAAGATTTCATATGGAACAGTTTTATTTATATCATTTTATCGATATTAAAGGTTCAGTAGCAGCTACTTCTATAGATGGAGCTTGGAACTTTATACATTAAATAAAACATGTGAGATACAATAAATTAACTTGCCTGCAATAGAACAGAAACATTGCCGGGCAAAGTTAATCGCCTGGTAAAGAAATCCAGGCCAATAGTCTGCAAACATGATTGCTGGATTCATTACACAGCAAAAAAGAGCTTTCCGAAGTCAACAAATGAAGATCAACTGAACATTACTTATATTACGTAAGTTACAAGACCGTTTCCTCGAGAATTTACAGACATTTGGCTAATGTTAAGAAACATGGAGAAGTTCAAAACCTGCTGATACTGTCGTCCGAAATTATCCTGAGCAAATCGTACACAGAGTGACGTTTTACCACTAGCACCATCACCACATACCACTATTTTGATAATTTTTTGAACCGGAGCTTCTTCATCCCAGTCCATCTTGGTTTATGTTTTGCCTTACCAGTAGTAATAAATTTTCATTTTTATATCTCCCAGTATTTGATTTAACGGAAGAGAACCCGATATAACAAGAACATAAAATACTTGAACCATGAATTCAAAAGTTTTTAATGCTAGTGTGCTCAATGAGATTTTAGACCTTTGGGTAATCTATGTCTAATATGCTTAATCGTTCTTGAATGGCGCCACTGCCAAAGCAAAAAGTAGAATAAGCAGAAACGGACGATATCTCGAATATAAAAAGTTTGAGAGAATTCTATGATCGAAGAGTCTTGCTAGAATCTGAAATTAAAAAATTTATAATTAATCGTTTACATGCGCTGCATCCATGGTAACGGAATGTGTAACGCCTGCATGCCCGCTTCCTTGCCAGTTAGAAATTTTCTCACACGGTTCCATGCTTTTTCTACTCACAATATTATGTCGCATACGGTGCGGCAGCGACTACCTCCAACAAGAAAGAATTCGACATTTACAGAACTTTTTAAATGGCATACGCCCTGGACATCGGTAGAGTGGTGATTACCTACCCATTTTTGTCCACAACTATTTCGCCATTAATTGACAAATCAAAAAATATGTAGATTACCATGCAAATGTGGTAAATACCCGAAAGCAGTAGTCTACCTCTACCAAATAGCATTTCCTTTTATAATTATGAGTGACACGAAAAGGCACCTCGTCCATATTCTGTATACGGTTGTTAAAGATTCTCCCGTTTACATGAATACTTCATACACTTTTTGCTTAGTTTTGTTTATGAATTCTGTATTCGAAATAAGAGACAACTTTAACAGGAAACTGTTAGGAGAGCTTGAGGCAAATTTCGATGATTCCAGTTTCTATCCTACCTGGTAGTATTGCATTTCTCCTTATTTGTGTTCTTATCTCCAGGAATGTACAGTCTCTCGTAGACCAACTCTCAGCCAAATCTAAAGTAACATTTCCTCAATGAGCATTTGAATACATGCGACCTTTATCCTTATAAATTATCGGTTTTTGGCAAGTCATCTACATATATCGTTTAAATTTATCTTCCAAACTTATGTCGCCTAAAATAATTTGCCGCATGCTGGCAAGAGATACAATTCTCAACTTATGTAAACATCTGAAGTGTACGGAATATATCTCAAGACTGCTTCGAATCGATTTTCTTTTAATGTATAGGGGCGTGAAAATGTGCCAATAAGCAGTATTTTTCAAAAAAAGTGGCAAATAACGAAAACATTAGTTTCAATTAACTATACAGAACATGAAAACCAAGTTAGATACAAGGAAAAACGGTGAAGATCAGAGAGCACAATCACAATAAAAAAGACCCGATAGTAAACTGTAGAATTCAACAGAACTCGTCTTCAATGGTTCGTTTACATGGCATTTTATACATACAGCGCCAACTCAGGTTTCTTCTATCACAATGAGCATCTTCTGGAAGATCTGCTTTCATGTTTCCACCTTGATTAACCCCTAAATTTGCAAGGTATGAAAATATCCAGATCAAAGCAATTTTTGGTCTTGTTCCTTAATATTTAAGCATTTCGTTTTCAGCAGACTCTCCCGCCCCAATTTTTCCAGCAGTTCTCAACAGGGCAGTCGGCGAAAAAAAAAATGCAATTCATCCAAAGTTCATAGTGACTTGAAACTCTATTTAAGAAATTCCAGAAATGCGCAAGAAAGGATTTTGCAGAGCAATGATATGCTCTCAGTGACCCTTTGACAAACCACAAATATCTCACAACATTCCAGAAATAGCTGGAGTCAAATTTCATTCCTTTTCGTAGACAAAATGGCGTGTTGATAATTTCAGCGAAGGAAAAACTAATTACTCACCAATTGCAAGCGCATTGCAGAATGATTCCCGCACAAGAATTAGTATGATAAGATCAACAAGATAGTACAAAACATTAGCCTCAAAAGCTGAACAAAATTTGCTTGTTAATCAAATCTACAATTTAAGCCAAAACTTGAGCATTAGTGATTGGAATAGAAATAATAAATAATGCTATTAAACAACTTAAGCTAGGAAGTTACACATCTAGTCATTTCTTGTGTGCCAGAAACGAAAGAAAAATCTGTACCACATAAAAGAGGATATGAAAAATCTTAATAATATGTCAGCAACTGAATTCATAAATTCAAAGTAACTGATAGAAAATAAAGAAATTGCTGCTGTGAGAAAAAATATACTATTTAATGCCATGTTTGAAATTAATTATGAAATCAGACAGGAAATGAAAAAAACAAGCAGGTGGAGAAAAAATGAGGTAGGATACAGAACGAATCGAATCAAATTTCACTAAATGAAAAGTTGTATAGAAACGTTTCAAAAAAAAAAAAAAGAAAATATATATATATATATCGCTGCTTTTAAGCTGAAACCGTAAATATGACAGATTTTCCTTGAAATTATTACTGCTGAATATAAAAAATTTAACACGAGAAAGGTGCAGAGAGAAAGCATTCGTAGAATTCATACAATTTAAACTGGAATTTCTAGAAGGCACATTTCTGGATACCACACTATGATTCTTCGCCAACCTCAAGCTTCGGGCTCGATTTTTCTTCTTTGATGAACATTTGCAGTGAGCTTGGAGTAACATTCTCGGCAGCTAATACTTCTTGCTTGATATCACAAAGAAGCACTGCTTCCGGATGCTCGCTGGCTGCAATCATCATACTTGCTGCAGATGCTGCAGCTGCTGTGGAAAGTAAACTTAACGGGTTATCAGGTTTCGGTGTTGACGGCGTACTTCGTGACGTATGCGCACGTTGAGGCCGTCGTCGGTAGAATTCTGAATCATCCACTGTCCATACGGCACCTTTCACATTCTGCTCAACCCGTGCAAAACATTTATGTAACGATAAGTTATGTCTCACTGCATTCTGCAAAATTTTTAATATTCACGGCAACTTTCAGTTCCACTGTTTTTAACAGTTATAAAGCAAATTTTTACTGTACATATTTTTGTTTTTTTCATGTTGAAAGTTAAAATGTAGACAATCGTATTTCTTACAAAAATTTGCATGAGTAACAAACCACGTAACTATTAGTGAAACAATTTATAATTACCTAGATATGGTGTGAGTAAAGAACAACGGCTTCAGTCGCATCTACTAACACATTATTTTACAACTATAAGATATGAAGCTTCAAATTTCTTAAATTAGGATTCCACGACAAATAGTAAAAATGAACCATTACAATATCACCTTCCAAGTTGCAGCGTTCCTTCGGAAGTATGCAAATGTTTCCGTGAACCACTGATAAATTTCGTTAAGTGTTAATTGGCAATCTTTGGACTCCATAATAGCCTCGCGTATAAGAGATGCATATGTATATGGTGGACGAACATCATGTGTTCGATAAAATTCGCGGTTTCGTGCAATATCGGTTGAAATATGTAAAACAACTTTGTCGTTGATTTTCCGCCGTGGTGTTGGAGTCGCACGATGATGACACTGTTGGGACTGTTGTTGCTGTTGTTGCCGTTGCTCTTCCTCTTGTTGCTGTTGTTGTGAACCTTCAACGTTTGACACACTTGGTAATGACAACGCCGTGATTGTTTGCTGCTGAAAAAAACAATCTTAGCAAACTTCTTACTCGATTTCAAAATTCGATGTGCACCTTTTATCTAATATTAAGAATACTCAATTAATTCCAAATTCATTTGCAAGGAAAAATGAATATTATTTTCCGCCAAACCTGGAGTAATTCGATTAAATAAAATTCAGTCGGATAACAAAAGTCACCAACTTTAATCAAACATCCAATAAACATGAATTCGGAGCTTCCTGTCAATATGTTCTTTCCGATTAATATTACGGAAAGGCAACAAATTCTGCACTTATTTACCTGCTAATTAATTCACAGATTTTTACTTTTCTGCTGTTGGTGTGAAGTTAACGAGATGTAAAGTAGTTTTTGAGTATTTCTGAGTTTAGTGCACTTATCAGATTAACTGATCTTCTACAAATTAATGTGAACTTGAGGAATGTAATTAATACATATTACTTAACCCAACAGCAACAGAACCCAATAATTTCAAATCACTGAATTAACAGTACCACCAGCAACAGGATTCGATTCTCTGTATCCAAGGAAGGACAAGTTTTTGTAAAGTTCAGAAAGCTGAAAGAAATATGTCGATGTGGAAGACCAACCTGATCGGGCAGAGATTCAGTTTTTGTCTCTGCAAGTGTTGGTGATGGGATGGATGTTGAATCTTGTGACTGCTGCAACGTGCCTAATGTTGGTGTTGTGGTATCAGGTGATTGTTTCATGTGTAAGTGTTGCATCATAGCCTGCAAGCGAGTACGCTCCCTGTTGAGCCTATGTTCTAGGTTATCCACTACCTCGATTTGAGCTCGACACTGCTGAGCGGATCGTTCGTCGAGCGTATGCACCGTTGCCAAATGATGCAAAAATGTGGCGAAATTTTCACATGGCTGGTCACATTGTGGCCAAATGCAGAGATTATGCTGAAAGTAAAAAAAAAAAATTCGACCAGATGTTGCAAAGGAACCGCCAGCACACCAAGCAATTTTTACACTTATTAACGGTCCCGTACAGCTCACAACTATGTATCCCTTCCTTGTTACACCATTTTCTTAGCATGCTCTCGAAAATTTATCTTATCCTGCTTCTGCATTACCTACAAAACATTGAAGTCCATTCTCGCGGTTGCCCCTTTTGTAGAGATTATAGTAGTATAAAGCTGATCTCAAGTAAACAGAAGATACACGCTTATTTAAAAAAAATTCGTCATGAATGTTTGTGATAATCTACTGCACCAACTGAAGAACGAAATCATCCTAAAATTAGTTGTCACTCATTTCCCAGAACTGAAAAGAGAGTTAATGAATGAAAACATTCAAATATTTCATGCCGAAAAATTTCCAGCTTCTGTTACATGTCATTTAAATATCATATTCTATAACATCAATTTATTAAACTCTATTCACAGTGATTCGTAGTGGTTTGGAAGAAAGTTCGTAAGGTAAGAGAATGAAAGTCATTCCAGAAACTGAATGGCTAGTTCATGAGTAAAAGTAAATGGATATGCAAGGGTAACTGAGAAGACGCTGGATATTGAATGAGATGAAAAGAGAAGCACATGCAGCGGCAAACATTTGAAAAAAAAACACAAATACACATACATACATACACACATAGTTTTTGCAATAATCTTGGGAACAAACTTTTTTTTCTTAAGATAAACTCGTCGATCAATCTTCTCCTCGCCTTTTTGTGTATCCCTTTCTTTCATTTGCGATGCTGATATTCAGAATGAATCCTTGTTCTTGCAATAAATGTAAAGTGGCGATTTTGTTTGATTTTCATTTTTCCAGATTTTCTTTCGATCTAATCCAGATAAGCAGTCCATGAAATGGCTCCAAAATTTTGATAGACAAATACAGCAGCACTTCTGCTTTCAGAGACTTTCCCGAAATTTTGAAAATGTGATTATTGTAACACAGTGTGAATTACTCATCAAAACTTCCGAGAAAGCACTTGACATATATGATTGCGCGCAGATATCCAGGGAAGTTCGAGTGGAATTCTGAACTATTCACTAAACAAGAAAGCCCTGCTTTCTGATCATTTAAGGATTTTAGCTAATTTCCTGCTTAATATGGGCATAACTTAACAAATATTATGTGCGAGCAATGGAATTAATCGCTTTCACTTGAGCATGGAAGTGAACACTCCAACTACCTATAAACAAATTGAAAAATGAAACTTTATTGAAACTCCAAATACCATATTTTGGTAGTGATTTACTTCTCTATGCTCTTTTTGTCATTACTCTAGCAATGTAGTTTATTAGATGAATTGCATAGTCGCAGAGAATCTAATGTTTATAAAATTGTTCTTTTTCGTAATTTTTACTACACTCCAAATAAGCAATACAATAGGAGTTAGAAAATGACTTCGTTTTATTTTACATCTCTATTTGTTTATTAATTTTACGTAAAAGAAAAAAAAGGAAGAACGAAAACAAATTTTTCATGGTATAATGTAGCGTAGAATTCATCCAATACTCTTCCACTCTTTTTCATCCGTTTCGAATGCTTCACACCGTTATTCATTTCAATCATCGCAAAACTATACACCTCCTACCAATTTATTGAATAAGTTATATTGCAGTACCCATCTTAAACCTGCATTTTGTTTTTCTAAAAGTGTTTGTTGTTTTGCAATTTTTCTCTTGCTCTTCTAATAAAACAAATAATATCAACTACAATAATTCCTTCTTCTATTTGCTTAATATTCCCTCTAATACTTACATCATTATAATTATTATACTATCAAGATATGATCATCATTACCATACTATACAACCTCAATATGACCACTAAAATACCATGTTTATTCCCATTATTTTTATTAATACTATTAATATTATTCATACCAACATTTCCATCACTGTATTATCCTCAGTAAAAATTGATATCATTCACATCATCACCATTAGCATGTAATACCACAGTGCCGAATAATGCTAAACTTAAAAGAAAAGGATCCAGTGATAGGTTATTATGGTAACTCCCACTAGCGAAAATGTTGGAAAGATCAAGTTTGTATCTCAAATCGTCAACACATTTCAAAACTGTTAAGAAGATAAATTCCAGCCAAGTGAGGAACAAATGTTTACGACCTTTAGAATAAACCGACGAGGAGGATCGGTTAGAAGAGAAGTGTAGAAGAACGTAGAAAGAAAGGAGGCGGACTATAGATGCGTGTAAAATGTGTACATATATTTATTTCACAACCGAATGTGCCTGCTTACTTCATTTACGCTACTTCCCCTCTTCGTATATTGTTATTGTTTACTAATCAAGTAAAGACAATCCATATGCGTCTATATGATAAACAATAACCGTTCGATCTCTTCTACTGTCATAATTTAACCTCTCCTCCATCTTTAAAATATGCAAGAATTGTTGTCACTCATCTATTTGTCTCAAAATATGTATAAATGTTGAACAATCACAATGCTTCCCGATATTTCCGTTCACTTCACATCTGATAGAAACCATGTGATTTCCACCAATCACAATTTCATATCTAATTATTACGTATTAAGAGTACCAAAATAATATACAAAAGGGACGAATCTTTAAGGACAGAAACCGATCACATATGGTTATGATTTTAGTACATCAGTTCCTTCCTTGGATTGTGTGTTATGTACTTATTTACTGGCATTATAAAAATATGGATGAATAAATACGAATTAATGTTATATAAAAAAAGCTAAGAAACTGTCTATCAGGTGATACTGCAATTAAATTTGAAAAAGTGATGCAAGAAGAATGTGACTAATGCATTTAGTGCATTTAAAGGAAGAGGAAATATAATATCTGAAGATTACGGTAATAATTCCTTGTTAATTGCTTATTTAGGACTTCTTTAAACTTACTTATACCGATAGACTGGAATTAGGAGGTCAAAATGTAAAACAGCATGAATATATATGGAATAAGTAAATACAAAAGTGCTACATGTTCTGGAACGATTTTGACATCGTTTAACATTGAGAAAAAAAAGAAAAAACATCGAAAGTGAACCTAATTTCCTCGAAAATTTTAATTTCATCCCTTTAAATTTGAGTTTCTCAATGTTAAATCACGTGTTCTCTCCCTGAAGCAATTTTAAGTGACCATATACCCCACAAAAGTATTTGGCAACTGGAACATGAGATCTTAATAAATTCATGACGAGATGAGGATGATAGCAGCACTTTAATTATGTATTTAAGTGTAAGAAAAACCCGAGAACGATCAATCCTACAACAAATTCCTACCTCCCAGAGATAAATAATGAGCAAAAGTCAGAGATCAGCGACAAAATTTGATGCATATATTTACCAGCTGTATACGCTTGTTTGTTATGACCATCTATTAGAAGGAAAGCAAGAAAGAGGATGAGTAGATCAGGAGCTAGGAGAGCACAAGAAATGTTTGGGACGATAATGCAACTATCTCGTTGGTGATACTGAGTCATGAAGAACAAGATTATTTATTACTACAGGTATAAGGTGCTTCCTGAAAGTCGAAAACTTTTCAAAAATTAAAATACCAACTAACCTGGTACAGTGGGTGCATTAAAGCTTGGCTGGTACCCGGCAAAGCTGTTAAGTCCAGTGGTGGTAATAAAGCTGGCAGTCCAAGCATCATATTTTGCCAAATCCGTTGAAGTTCTGTTTGAGGTCGCAGCTGCTGAGCCAAGCGTTCGTGTAATGCCAGCAAAAACATTTGCTCAGCCTTGGTAAAAAAACCATACTTACGGAGAAGCACTACCCATTTTCTTCCTACATTTTTTCCTTATGGCATATCCGCATATCATTTTAACTTAGAAAATTACCATATTTTGGAAAAGTGCATATAGGAAAATGACTCTCCATACGATCATATTCGGCGGTAAGATCCTACTTTTAAAAATGTGACAATCCATAATGCCCAAAGAAATGAAAATAGTATAGCGTTATGCTAGGAGTAAAATACGTAAAGTACCCGGCCAACCTGTGTTTGTTCATTGTGTTGCATCGCGTTTAACTCGTAAGTTAGGACGTCTTGACTTGGATTATTGTTGGTTGAAATATTTGGTGACCCCTGGAAAGAGATCGAGTTGTTTAGATTAAATTTAGTTGATTCGTCATGCAATCATAAACAGATTCGTCCATCCTCGTTTCTAAAAGGAGATACTCTTCCCTTTTCTCTTGTTTCCCCCGTGTTAGACTCATTAAAGCAACTCTGCCATGAGATACTGTGAAAGTTACAGCATTTCCAACACCTCTGAAATTTAAATTTTCAAAAATTGAACTCCAACTTTCACGCAGTTTCTCGTCCTAGCATGCAATCGGTGACTATGCAGTGACTTAATTTTAGAATCCGGTAAAGATACTAAAAAGAAAATCTTCATAAAGACAAAAAGGCACTTCCGGTGTCAGTGTAAAGTAATGTAATGCTTATATGAGAACTCGTCAAAAACTACCAATAGTTCTCATTATGGAAAAAGGTCTGGCTGAGGGGCCGCCTTTTCTTTTTTATTGCTAAGTAAAAAACGAACCGATTGTTCCATGGAGAGCGGGCGGGCAGAGATACGGGGATCGGAGGGGGCAGCTGCGCTTTGCACAAACTCACTTGGCGAATGCAGCAGCAGCAGCAACAACAGCAGCAGCAGCACAAGCAGCAGTGCAATAGGCTCACAAGCCTTGTTTACTCCCTGTTTACCCTTCAACCTCCTCCTCCCCCCCGTCGTCCAAATGTAAACAGATGAGTGTTCATGCTACACTGCCATACGTCAGACAATCCTCCGTAGTGCTGGAGAAGGGACAAGGGGATGCCACTCCCTGCATGTTCGTTTCTCCCTTAACTCCCCCGACCCCAGCAGTAAAATAAGCAGTAGGGGGCACCACCATAAGTAATATAGCATTCTGTGTCCGTATGTGCATGTATGTGCAAGTATGTGCAGATGTGTGTGCATCTTTATCGTGTACCCATTAACATGTCGGTAAGAAACGTGCATGCGTGTTCCCTGCGTGTATTTTTCCAAATGCGTGTATTCATCAGTTCTCATTTTGCCGCGCTGCTATTACCTATTCCAACTCCAGTTTGTCAACAGCCCGTTCATCAGCCGCCCACACACACACATAAACACATACACACACAGATACATCAAATACGTGTGTACACAAGTCTGTTATCTATGTGTACCGTTGTCTATGGATCCTTCATAAACATTTCCGAACAAATAACATAATTACTTCTTACCTTTCCCTTTCAAGTATTTTGTTGGAATAAAAATTGTCCTTTATAGGGAAAAAAAAAAAAAAGGAAAATAAACCGTATGGATGGCGATAAGGGATGAATCACTCAGTTTAGCAAATGTTGTGTTGTTCTTGATGCTAGAACGATAGTTGATGGATGTCACGAAATTCCGGTAGAAGTTGAGTAAATAATTAAATCCAGATCCAAGTGAATGTTGCTTCCTGAAGCGTTAAGAGAGATGATGGCAGACAGAAATGAAGATATAAACAGAGGCCACGATAAAAATAGGAAAGTGTGGATCAGTATTTCATACGTGAAAGTCAGGAGTTGAGGGGAGAAGACGATTCTTAGTCCACTGATGCTAGTGAATGTGCTCGAAGTTGCATCCGAAGAATTAGGAAAACATATAAATATAAAAAAGCAACGACAGGACGATTACCATAGTACAAAATGCATAGGACATATGCTGAAAAATAAACCTTGCAACTTTTAGACTATCTCAAGAAGTACTCCAGAATGGAGGGATTCCGAATCCGGTGGATAAGACAGCGATATCAGTGGCAGTTCTTAAGGATCATGAAGTTGGTCGGGACGAAAAGCACAAGATGACGCTAGCTGCGTGACGAGTTATTTGCTGTTGTTGTTGTTGTCGTTGTTGCCTCCTTTTCACTCAATAACTGTTACTTGTTACCCATTTGTTTACTCCTCTCTTTTCCTGCTTCCTCCCTTTCTTATCATATTTCTGTGTTATGTCTCACTATTGTCATGCGCCACATACAAATTACGCGACGACATCACCAATAGCAGCACAACAACAATAACAATGATATAATAACAACTAATACCCAACATTCAATACGTGCTTATAACTCTCATTTCATCCTAAACAACACATTATGTCACCAGGTGTGTAGTTCCTCCATTTAGTATATAGGGTCACATGACTTCCTTTTCGTAAACAAAAAATTAGATTCACTATACTCCATAAATCAAAACTAGAGTTATATTAGACATTGCATTGTGAACAAGACACTCCAACACTTATTTATTCATCAAATTTATTTTAGATCAGAGCCAATATCACGGTATGCCATGCCTGCTAAAGCTGCCATCTCCGATGAAAATCCCCGCATAACAACAACGCTTCAGGCATCCAAGCCGCAGTACTTTTTCATTCAGTGGCATTAACAGTTTCATTTGATGGGAATGGGACCTGCACGATATAATAACAAAAACTGGCGACCTTTTAATAAAAGGGTGTAAGTTTTATTGGAAAGTTTCTCTCGTCGCTTCTTTAGTTATTATTTGCTCAATGAGGCAACATTCACCAACTTGTTGTTTAACAAACCACATTTCCCTGTTTGCTAACTGGATGACAATACGCATTGATCATTTCACGTAATACGTCATGCTTACAGAAAGAAGAAATGTCAAGAAGACAATAAAAGTGTGGGGAAGGGAGGGACGATGACAATGAAGCAAACAAGCCAACCGCGTAATCAACATCAAAACAGCAACAGCAGGTGGAGTAGTATCATGTAATCATGGGTGGTCTTGTTTATTTAGTACAGCAAAATGAACACCGCCCCATTTTACCTATGTGTGTATGTTGTGCTGTGCTGTGCTATCTACTATTTCCTGTTTGTCTCCTTTTTTTGCCTCACTTTTTTCGTTGCTCCAGTAGCGTAGCTGTCACTAGCCGAGACTTCACATCAACCTGCATGCTGTAAATAACTTGTTTGCATAACAGAACAGTTTGCTTGATAATAGTTAGTAATGATAATTGCAGTCAAAAAGCTCTTGCTTTGATAGGGGCACTGCCACCCCCCTTATCACTCACTTTTCTAAATGATAGTCTCCCAAATCTCCCAATGACTCCGAAAGGCATCATGAAGATGAATAATGAATAACACAACTAAACAAAGAGCGAAACATAGAAGAAGGAATATGCTTTAACGGTAACAGTAATCATGAAAATAATGGTCATGATATTGATGGATATAACCATATGGATTATGATAGAAGTGGTATTACTGTCCATATCGCTGATAGTGAATAATTTGAAATGTAGTAAGCTTCATTTCACATTTCAGTTTTCCCATTGTCTGATTAGTATATTACAAAGTTTTCTTTGTATCTGCAGCGACTGGCCGTCACTGTAATGGTCGCTATCACGTTGATATGTTGTTACATAAAAACAACCCGATAAAATGGTCGATTTATGAGCTCATTTCTTGATTCCTGATAAGAAATTCTCATTATTCAGCAAAATCTGAGATGATCCTGCCAAGGCTCCAAAAAGAATAATACACTGACAGTCAAATTTTGAAGAAATCTCCTCTTTTCATTGCTAATAGGTGATTGTGTCTTTATCCAGTAAGTCCTTATATTTATCATGAAAGTAATGCATGCCTTAAAACATTTCAAGAAATAACACATTTCCTTTCTACCGTTTTATCAAAAGTTGTTATTCCTTTAGCTTTCAAGTCCATGTGTTATCATAATTATCCACGAGTTTGACACTTTATTTTAAATAGTTAGTAGTCACTTTTTGGAACAAATAAAGAAACAGCGAATTTGCGCTTGTTGTAACTTGGGGAAATTTCGTGTGTCATACTGGCTCATTCTTACTCTCAATGTTGACTAGCATGGTTGTCTTTTTACAATCTGCTAACACCTTTTGTTTTATAAATAAGCCGGATCCTATTTTCTTGGTATCATAGCTTACTCGATACCAAAAGATGTGGAAGCAAAGATATGTTTTAGGAAAGTTGGTCGATTTACCTATCTTTTTAATTAGAAATATACGTATAGTTCCTGTTTGCCAGAAAGTTTTACTCTTGTCCGGACAAGCTGGAATGTTCCTAAAATTTTAAAAGAAAGAATTTTCATCTCAAGAACTCTCTAAAATAGACAAGCGGGATTTTTCTATTGTAATGATTTTTCACTACTGCAAAGGCCTTTACCCGTCGCTGTGGTTAGATAGTTTAGAAATATATGGCTTTCTAGTAGGTTTTGTTCGCTCCATTGTTGTGATGAAGCGAAGTAGTTGAAAAGGGAACAGAACTAGAAATAAGTAACCATCCTTTGCTGCTTTCAAGCAGTTCGTAATTTCCCGACCAAAAAATGAAAATATATGAATTAAAGTAATGACTGCGATGATGTAATAACAGAGTTTTGGGATTATACGTTTGTTACGTGGTTAAAAGACGCTTTGAATACTACTACTGCAATCGTTGCTCACATGTCGAATAATAAAGACGCAGAGAAACAAGGCCTTTCTATACTAACATAGTAGATAATAATAGTTATAAATCATGAAACTGAACTGTTACTGAAATAGCATTTCTAAATTCCTTCGATACTAATGGGAAGTAGGACAAATTCATACGTTAACATTTATGGTATTTATAAAGCATTGTGTTCACCCTATAGGTGATGGTACCGTAGTAGGCGGGAAAACTTATTGATCTCGATATCGCGTTACAGTATGGAAAAGGATGATCAGTAGCGCGAGACGTATTCTCAGAAATTCTAACTGCCATGGGTTAGTTGGCTAAATCCTGATGATTCGAGGCAGCGATAATCTGAGTAATGGAGTGATTGAATTGAAACGTTAGGTGGCTGATACCATAAACCGTATTCTGTATTTCCCAATATCCGGTTTGTTGTTGTCAGTGTTTGCCTGCATCGAGCTTCTCATGATATTGATGATATTGATGGTAGCATTGTTATTATATCTCCCTCCACATATTTAACTCTTTTACCTTCCCTTTCTCTTGCATTACCAACTGTGGCGTTAGCAAATACTAATTATGCAGAAGGATAACCATTTCGGATTCCAGAAAGAGTGGAAACACTTCGAAACCAAGAATCTTATTGTTGAACAATAAAAATGGTAGTGGGAGGCAATCACATACTGAAAATCCTGAAATATGATTCTTCAAGAATTATAATACACAGTATTTAAGACATTAGTATGGATTAACAGTTAAAAATGGTAGTGGGAGGCTGGCATGAGCGAAAGATATACTTGAAGTAATTAAAGTCTGTACAAGTAAGGCATTTTCTCCCAAAGTATGATTGTTCTATTCTAGGATAATCACATTCCTTTCGGTCTCAACAGTCAACAAGTTCGACCGGAAAAAAAAAAAAAAAAAGAACAATAAACATAAAATAACGTTTCGCACTTGAGCTTCGCATGTAATGAATTTAAAGTAGGTTCGAACTATCGGAAAATGTGAAACCAACTTTTCTATTAATGCTGTGCATAAGAATAAGAAAAATGTACTTCGCAACATGGCAGAACATCTGTTGAACATATAACGGATATGACCTGTCATCACAAACAATAAAGCGGGAATGTCCTACAGAGTAAAGGCAACGTGATAAGATACAGCGCCCCTATGTGTAGGTGAAAGTGTCCGAACATTCTCTGATGATTATGAAGTAAAATCCGTGAATATATTTAAAAAAGATGGAATTTGGAGCAGACGACACAACCTTTCACGTCAAGCCCAGCTAGTTTTGGTTTCTAGGAAAAAAAACGAAGCATGTTGCATTGTATCTGCGTCCTTGCTTTATTGCGTTCATTTGCAAAATTTACAAGGCTTGTTTTGAAGTGACTCATGTTTTGTCGTGTTAACATTTACTAATCACCAAAACAGAAATCACTATAGAACATTTTGGTGTGCAGACCAGGACTTGGAAGAAATCAGAATAGCGGAACACTGTTAATATCAGTAAGCGATCGAAGATTTCTTCTACCTGGTAGCATCAGAAATTTTGGAAGGTTGATTAGAAGCTCAAAGCTAAGGACGTTCAAACTTGAATCAGCGGAGAGACAGCACAAAAGCTTGGGACAGTATCGCTTATACAAATATAATGCAAAACCTAATAAGAACTCGGCAATTCGAAGCTAAGTCAAGTATCACTAGTTTAGTTTGCTTCAAACCATGATTTTAAAAACTGCAATTACTTCAGTTTCATGACAATTGTCTCAGTAGCCTAAATTTTCCGCTTATTTAACAGCGGGTTTTAAAAATCCTTCATTTCAGAAAATTCAGGTAGAGAGTTTCAGTTATTAGGAGGACAGCTGAAAAATTGATAGTCACTAGGTTGAAGCTAAATAAATCGGGAAAATGTCACCATGTCACAAGAAATGATTAAAAACTCATGGGAAAAAAATAACAATAGTACAGATGAAGAGAGGGGATAATTTTCTACTTATCTTATTAATAGAAACTAAATTTTCACAAAAACTTTCGATTATCTCATAACCTATTGCATCCGAATAGAAGAGCTAATAGAAGTTCTGTAAGACTTTTAAAAGATTAGGAGAGATAATTTAGGTCTGAAGTAATCAAGGAAAAAATACAACACAAAAACAATGAGTTTTTTTTTCTTTAACATCTTGGAGTTTCTGATAACTTACCGGCTAAAATCTTTATCAACTATTTACGTTAATATATTGTCTAGTGCGTTTTTCTGTCAAAAGAATCGGTCTATTTAGACATAGTCATTGAAGATCTGGAAATGCATAATTATACAAAAGTACACAGTTACATTTGTGACCGCACCATGAAAAGGAGGATTTTGCCTGGAAAATAAGAGGCGTAATAAAGATAGCCATAGGTAAACAGAATCAAATGCGTTTCGGAAAAAAAAAGGAAATGCAAATGAAAGAAAATAAACTTATGTGTCCACACAAAATAACAAAATTGGAAATCGAACGTGAGGAACAAAACGTTCGAAATCTGAAAAGTCAGGAGGTATCAAAAATCTTGGCAGTAATATGAAGATTGAAACAAACTATTGATTGGTGTTTCTTTCCATTTTCTATAATAGCAATATTGTTATTATAGTTGAGGTGTATTACAGAATCAGAAAGGAAGTGACACAATCAACTGTAGAGAGATTGGCTGGATTGGGTTTGTATCAGAATTCATCAGGAAGAAAGTTAATCTTACATGAATTATTCAACTGGTAGAGTGAAAAGTGATTTCTTGCAAGAGCTGAAATGGTTGTTGAGAACTTCTCCTGCGGATCTCCAAGGTAGCGTAAATTCTTAAGAGACAGTTAAGGTACAGTTAAGTACCAATTCACTGTTATTTATTGCTATTCGAAATTCAGGTTCATCAGTTTTAAGCTATTTAAATTGCTATGTTTTATTAAAATCGACTAGACTACATAATGCGATTGTTTGATCAAAGAAGATATAATTTTGCTAAACAGCTTGAGAAATTTGGTAGCGATAAGATAGGTAGGTGCCTTTATTTATGTAAATAGAATCATAACCATGAACTGCAACAGTTTTACAATATTCGGTTCAGATCAAGTAGTGACTTTGAAATGTCGCTGACCAGTTTTAACGTTCAGTTATTCCTCATCATTTATTTTAGCAAAAATTAATAAACATAGTTTGTTTGGAGGCCATTTATACTGTTTTCCTATTATCAAACATTAATTGATGGAAAAACAGCCGAGGTTATACAAACTAAGAGAAGACGAAACTTACCTCTTTTTAATATGAAACGGAAAGT